AATATTGAATATATTGTATTTGGTAATCGGATAGGCAATAAACACACAATTGAACGTTAGCAATAGATTTTCAGGATTAAGGTAGGCAACTTTGTATACATATTGACGATTAGCAATAGATTTTGGGATTTCTTGAATTCTCTTATCAAATATTGCTAGCGGACCGTACATATCTTCGTCCAGACTTCAGATCCCCATGACTCCATGATGCCCACCGGCCACCGGGATAATCTACTTGATAGGTCTAAGGGGAATAACCATAGGCAACGGATATAATATTATAGCATAAATCATAGCATAGAACTACAGTATAGTTATTGAATAACAATTCATAATAACAATAGTATGTTTACGACAGTGAATCTAGATAACTATGGGGATCTAGTTGGATGGGGATCTAGGGTGTATGTCACCGTAAAATAGAGACGTCGTGCTTCATGTATTACTTCACTCCCACCACGGCCACAGAAGGCCAAATATTAAACATCCGTACGAATACACTTTTTAACACAACGTTTTTCTGGAATAAACACAGATATGTATATTAATATTATTAAATATATATAGGTATCTGTGGGAATAAATTATCGTATCACGTTGATTTTGGAGCTTGGTGTTTATGCCATGATAACGTAGCCGATGCCGATCAAAAGACGCGGAACTACCACCCTCCTCACCTCATGGCAGAATGAAATTCTATTTGTTGTGATCAAGTGATACTAACAAAGTTACAACCTATTCATATTTCATTTCATCAAGTTCCAAATTCAGACTTCGGTGTTTTCAAACATTTGCGAGACTGTAAGTATTATTTTTTGTTGGTAGTTTTTTTTATACACGTATTTTTGTGTAAAAAGTCTATATAAATTACAAATTGTATTCCATTGTTATTGCATTAGAAGTGAAATGGATACTTTAATAGAACAGCAACGTCGTTACCACGAAGAACGAGAACGGTTAGTTGATGCTATGGTTAAAGAGATGCTGTGGAAAAAGTCTACGACCAGAGACGTGATTAATTCCGAACACCGACAAAAATTGTTGCTCGATCAATATATGGAAGGAACTAATAAACTAAAAGAATTTTATGAAGATAAGGATGGTTTACGCAAGGAGGAAATTACATCCATCACGGGTCCAAATGAGTTTGCTGAATTTTATTTTCGTTTAAAGGGCATTAAAGAATTTCATAAGAAACATCCAAATGAAATATCAGTGCCATTGTCGGTTGAATTTGAAGATTTGAATAATCTCCGTGAAAATCCTTCAGAGGAAATGACAAACATGGTAGATTTCACTGATGAAGAAGGCTATGGAAGATACTTGGATTTACATGAATGCTATGAGAGGTATGTGAATTTAAAAGGAGTTGAAAAAGTTGATTACATTACTTACCTATCCATTTTTGATCATTTGTTTGATATTCCTAAAGATCGTAAAAATTCGGAATATAGGAAATATGTAGATATTTTATTGGAATACTTGCATGGTTATTATTTACGAATAAAACCTTTACATGATGTTGACAATGAAATGGATACTGTTCGGATTGAGTTTATAAATCAATGGGAAGAAGGTACTTTCCCAGGTTGGCCAAAAGACACAAGTAGTGCTTTAGCCAATGTTGGCGCACACTTAGATTTGTATGCCTTTTCTTCTTGGGAAGAATTAGCCTCTCTTGGACTCGATCGTTTGAAATCAGCTTTGATGGCATTAGGATTGAAATGTGGTGGAACTTTGGAAGAAAGAGCTCAACGATTATTTTCGACCAAAGGGAAAACTTCATTAGATCCTGCTTTATTAGCTAAAGGTAAGCCAGGAAAAATGAACCGCACTAAAGAACAAGAAAGGCAAAAAGAATTAGCAATGCTTGAGGCGCAAGTATATAGGTTCTGTGAACTCCTAGCTGAACAGAGATTAGCAACTAAAGAGAATGTTCAAAGAAGACAAGCTCGAACTGAAGGAGAACGTGATGATTCTGAAAATGAGGCAAGTGCATCAGAATCTGATGACGAACAAGGAGAAGATATCCCTTATAATCCAAAAAATTTACCTCTTGGTTGGGATGGAAAGCCGATTCCATATTGGTTATATAAGTTACATGGATTAAATATTAGCTATAACTGTGAGATTTGTGGTAATTTTACATATAAAGGTCCCAAAGCATTCCAGCGACATTTTGCTGAATGGAGACATGCACATGGAATGAGATGTTTGGGTATACCAAATACTGCACATTTTGCTAATGTCACACAAATTGAAGATGCGCTTGCACTTTGGGAAAAATTAAAAACAATGAAACACGATGAGCGGTGGCAACCAGAGAATGAGGAAGAATTTGAAGATTCTCAAGGAAATGTAGTCACTAAAAAAACATATGAAGATCTCAAGCGACAAGGCTTATTGTAATATTAAAAAAATTATTAATTATATTTTTGTTTATAATATATTGAATATAATCTTTGGACCATAATTTCATTTTCAAATATTAATTAAACCAAAAATTGCATTTTATAAAACACAACCAAAAAGTTTTTATTCATTCGTATTTACTTGATTTTTATTATTAATTTCATATTCATGTATGTATAATATTGTTAAATGATTAAATTCTGAGTAGTTAGCTTCAAAAGTGTAATCATTACTGAAATGTAAGACAGTAATATAATGACGTATTTTATCATATTGTTTTTTAAGATAAACTAGATATTAAAACTAGGTTAATTAATAATAGTATAACACTATAACATACCAATTCATTTGGTTTATTAGTTAAATGATAAGTAAAATATAGTAATATTATATAATATAATTAATATAAAAGAAAGTTTTTTCTACTTTTATACGAACCACAAGTACAACTGACAAAATAAAATAAACTTAGATTCCAAATATTGCTAAGTGCTTAAAAATTGAATTAATACATTCAATCCTCAAATCTGACGTGATCTATGTTTTATCGACTGCTTTTGTTTTATATGCATAGATGAATATTGTTGATTACCTACCATCGTTAACATTAGTTGTGTTGTAGTAGAATTTGTTGATGTAGATTCACACATTTTAATGTGTTGATTTAGATTTATCTCTATTTTGTTCCACATAAAAAGTGATCAGGACAGCTGACTTGTGCACATGGGTGTGGCATCTTTTTCTGTATTGACTACTAGTGAGTAGTGGTTGATTGAGTAGGGGAAAATGGTTGTGTGACCTACTCCCTGACTAAAACCGGTCGCCTCAGTCTCTTTAAGGTTGAATAAAGTTTACTTTCAACTATTTATTAATTGCAAGTGAATATTTTTCATTCTACACTCATTAATTTATTTCAGTATAAAATGGAACCGGTTTTTGTTTATGGGACGTTGAAACAAAATCAGCCTAATTATTACCATCTCAATGACACTAAAAATGGCTGTGCAGTATTTAGATCAGCCGCCGTCACAGTCAATAAATATCCCTTAGTAATTTCTACTAAATATAATATACCATTTTTGTTACAAAATGAAGGCACTGGGCATGTAAGTGATTATCATACAATATTATGTTTATTGAAATAACGTTTAATACTTTACTAAAGTGTCACATATGGTTTTAGGAAATTAGAGGTGAAATATATGACATTGACACAAAAATGATGGAATATTTAGATGATTTTGAAAATCATCCAAATTTTTATAAACGACAAAAGGCTCCAGTCAAATTACCAAATGCCGATATTATTGATTGTTGGATATATTTTTTACCCAACTATCCAGCTAGTTTTTTGGATTTACAGTACTTTGACAATTACAATTCTAGTGGTGAACATGGACTTCCATATGTCACAAGGTATCTAAGAGATCCGGATGACAAATTATCATTCCCCAATTGGAAATCATCTAGTTAATGATGTTTAACATTTTAAATTAATTTACAGTGAAGAACTACATCTATTAGAATAAGCCTTCAAGTTAATCAATAAAATAGTCATAGAGGTTTCCTCTTCTCAGTCCAATGTTTATTATTATATCAATTAAGTGTAAAAAAAACTAAAATTAGTATTCGCATTACACTAGTGCATTTTAAAAATAAATTCATATCACACATTGTCAGAAATACAAATTGAATCATAAATTTGTTTAAAAAAAATATGTGTAATAGTGTTATATTATATAATTTTTTCTATACAAAACAAAGTTGCTAAATTACATTTAGGAAAAATAATTGCTTTCTTATAAATTCACACTTTTCCTTTCAACTTTAATTGACTAGAAATAATAATTTAAAAACTCAGTGCTTAATGCAACCAAAATTTTTTTATATCAAATTATTTTCAACATATTTTTATAACTTATTTAAAGTTACGGGACAGTTATTTATATCCATGACTTTAATTCTAAAACATTGTACATTCTGCAACACAACCAGAGCTACTTCTTCACGTCCCAATTCATTTAATTGATCAACCAATGTACCTGAGAAGGTAATTATTGAATGTTTTATTAAAATGTTATTTGTTAATTATTAGATTTTGTTTATTTTCACCTATTGTCGGCGTAGGTTGAACTGTTGTCCATGTATCTATTAGTGCTAGAAAAGGACTAGTTGGTCCATTATCAAATAGTTGAACTTTTGAATCTAATCCAATGTTAAGAGCAAACAATGCCCAATCTCTTCCTAATGGGTGTACTGGATCAACAAGACGACTTAATTCTTGGCGACACATGGTATTTAATTCTGTTAGTGGTAAACAATCCGTACAAGATAACATGTTTTCCACCTTGATTAGATAATATTATGTGTGAATATAATACAAGAACAAATGAATGATGTGACATATTATTAATGAAATAAATATTTACCTGGTCACATCCAAATGCAATTAAGTCCAATACACATTCTTTTTTTCCAGTTAACGGATTAACAACAAATGATTTGAAATCGGAAGTCTTCCGTACTGAATAGAATATATCATCAACGCCATAACCATGAGGCTGTGCGTAATGTTCTGATAAATTTGAGGGACTGAGAAATTCTTTAATTACTTTCATTCCTGGACATGTTTCAATCAAAACCTATAGTTCATATTTATATTATACTTTTTTCAATTTTGTAATTATAAATTCAATTGTACATTTACTGTATAAAAATATAAAAATAAATATTTTTACTAGATTTATGGAATGCAATATTTCTTCTAGAAAATAAAAACAGGTATAACTTGATGATTTAGAACCCCGAATTTTTATTTCAATACAACCATCTTGTTCTAGGGATACCATACACTCTATATTGCTTATACATAACACAGTACCGCCGTACCATTGATATAGGTAACTGTCCATGTCTTCATAATAATTGTTTTGCAAGTACCGTAATTCAACCTAGAATTAATATTTAGGTATTTAATATAAATAATATGAATAAAGAATACATTTTTTTTTAAATAAAGAATAAATCAATTATCAATACCTGTATTCTTATGAAAATTGATGTTAAAAGTTCAAGAAATTGTGGTTGTGAACTAAGCCGAACTCCTCCGTAACAACAGTCAACAACATTATTACCCCAGGGTTTCCACAATGTTTCATCTTTTTCTCTTATGATATATGCTGGAAATTCGTATTCAATGTCCCCATCATTATCATACTAAAATAATAGATTTTTTATATTTGAAAGTTTTACCAACATAAATATTTTCAATTATAAATGACTTAAACTCCAATTACATTAACTGCTGACTAATATGAATTATAACGTAATATAAAAATATTATTACTGCATCTAATAATAGATTATTATGGATAGACGAAAGAAACGACCGCTATCGACGCCGGTTAGGTTAGGTTAGGTTATCGGCAGTCGGCGACAAAAAACAACAACAATATTAATTTTGTGCACATTAAAAATATTACTTTAATAATAATTAATATACCGCCGTCTACGGTACTGTGACAAATACGTCAAAGAGTATTGAAATTTAAATTCATCATAATGAGTAAACTTTTTGGTCAAATTATTTCTGGATACGGTCTTGGTTACAATATCTCATTAAAAATAACTATGATATTAAGTTGAAAACTGATAACAATTTAACCTACTTGGACACATATTTTCATTGTTTCCAATAGTTGAAGTACTGACATGGCATCATAATGAGGAAACATTATCTGAAAATCATTTGCTTGATACGAACCAGACATACGTGTTTGACTGATCAAGAAGTCTACTGAAAACAGTGTACCAATTATACTTGATCCAAACCAATTTGGAGATATAACAATCAAATCTGGTTGTAATCCAGATTTTAAGAATAACACCTGGGAAAAATAATAAACAATCATTTTAATCTTTAGATTTTAATTGTCATTGGGTCAACAAACTTACTTCACCAAGGTTTTGCAGCTGGACAAGTAATACATTTAAATGTTGAATTGTAGCCAATGGATTTACTTCAAGGTGAATAGTATCACAGAATGTCTTCCAAGACAATACAGGAAATGGATTAGCAATTTTTCTTAGTTTAGGTAAAAAGTTCTGTACCGCTTCACAAAAACCACTCATTCGTGGAATATTCTGAAATCATTTAATAAAATAAGAAAATGATAACACTCGATACACGTATAATTTCTTAGCCAAAAATAAATAATACTGAAAAGATTAAATATCATGTTGAGAGAATACCTATATAACAACTCACAAATCAAAATAATAAATTATAGTAAAATCCCTAAAATAATCAAATACAATAAGTTGTGTATTTTTTGTAACACATGTATGTGCTATTAAAATTTAATTGCACGCAGTGAAATTCCAAGAAGTGCACACCATTAATAATCAAAAAATTGAAAAAAAAAAACTGTGCACTATTAAATATAATTTAAACCTCAATTCTTGTAACTGGAGACTTAGTGTTATAATAGTTTTCCCTAGGTGGGTCATCAAGTAATTTATAACCACCACGAGTGAAGAATGACAGCTTATTTAACCTGCCATTACTGTTTGCACCGCAAATGATATCACCTCGATAGTATCCCTGACAGAAAACTTGATTTAACCATTTTGTTTTATTAATTATGGTGTGCAAAACAATATTATGTAAAATTATATACATTATTTTTCTATATTTTTTTCTTTTAATAATAAACAAATTAGGAATACTTACAAAATAAAGTCGTTTTTTACTTATACTAATTGCCTCTTTAAAATTTTTCACACTTAATGAATCAACTGCCATTATATCAAAAAGTATTAATTGTTCATAAATTTGAAATACATGTCCATACTCGTCTTTCATAGTTTTAATTAATTGATCAGGTTGGCGACATATCCTTTGGCCATTATGCGTAGCAACAATTATCACAGGCACTAAATGATTTGAAATACCATTCTTACCTACAAAAGATAATGCACTGATTTTAGTATGAATATATTTAAAGAATATTTCATGTACTACAAACTTATTGGTTCTGTGGTTTGAAGTCTAGCTTGAACAAAACTAAGCCAATAACGTACAGTTTTCAAAATTTCTGTAGAAGACTGCTGCTCATTATAAACAATAACAACTACTTTGTTTGGTGTATTTTGAATGACATGATGATAAGAATTATAGTATGTATCTTCGCCAGAGAAGTCCCAAAATGTGCATTCGTTAATACCTGATAATTTTTCCTAAAAAAATATTAACATTGCAATAATTGCTTGATGCTTTGATAAAAAAAAAAGATGTAAACATGTTTTGTTTTAAACCTTTTGAACTGCTATACCCTTAGTACCATCGTGTTTATAATAATTTGATGTGTTTGTAGTATTATATTCTGTAAGACTCATCTCGTTTCCATTATTGCACTGACCCTGAGACGTATTGATTCCTGTTTAAAATGTCCATTAGCGCTTTGTCACAAATTTAAAATTAATTAGATGCGCACTTACTGTTAGTGTTAATTGTTCTTAAAGTATTTCGTGATTTATCAAGAAGCATTGAAAACAGGCCTAGTTTCATCAACCGTATAATTGATGACTTTCCAGCATTAGAATGTCCAAAAAACAGCAAATTTGTGTTTTGTATGTATTCATTGCTAATTAGTAGTTGTTGAATGTAATTTTCTCTTGCACTATTCTGAAGTAATAAAAGAAAAAAACTAATAATAGTAAAAATGTCAACAAAATTAAATTAAATTTGAAAGTGTATGCTAACAGTGTTCAACTTGGTAAATATTGATACTATTTCTTTTTGATTATTTTTTATAGCAGTTATTTCAGGTTTAATATTGTCTGCACTACGCTGCTGAGGATCACTTCCTGCAATACATAAATACCTAAAACAATTTAAATATACATTTAAATCAAATAATATTTATTAACATTGTCATAAAAGAAGTATAGAAGTAGAATGTTTACCTAACAATTTCAACATGTCCATGTCTGGTAGCTATATGCAATGGATACAACCCTCTATCATTAGGGTACTCAAAACTATGACCCATATTTATTATTGTTTCCACAACATTTAACAAACCTTCTTGTACAGCAACATGAATAGGAGCATTACCTTCCTAATGTAAAAACCTATGTTAATTTGAGTTTTCTTAAAATTATCAAAAAATGAATTTACATTATTAAAAATATCTAAGCTTCCAGGCGCATTGTGAAGTAAATATATAGCAACATTTTCATGTTTTTCTTTTATGGCAACCAGTAGCGGTGTATCCAGATTTTCATTAACCACGTCTGCCGTAACACTATGTTCCATTAATTTCATCACACATTCTAAGTAACCATAACGGCATGCTATATGCATTGGTGTATCTCCATTCTGTAAACACATGCAAAAGTGAGTTTTAAGTAATGGTGTCCAAGGTGTAATGATTTGCAAATCAATAATTGTTGTTACATGGTTTTGTTCACAGGCAACTTGGGGCTGTCGGAACAATAGACTTTTGATCACAGAAACATTATCATTTCTAGCGGCCAAATGCAGCGGAGTGTTTCCGTTTAAGTCTTTAGCACAAACGCCTGTACCTCTGTCCAACAAAACGTCGACCACATG